CTTTTTGTGACCCAGACATTGGGAGACTTCTTATTGAGCGTGAAGGTGCTGTGCTCACATCCTCCCAGCATCTCAGTCCAGCCTTGTGGAAACCATCATTGAGGGAGAAGTCGTGATGGACAACATTCAAGATCTGCCAAAAGCAATGTGCATTGTGTTTGGACTCATGTATGCACTGCATCTTATCTACCCCAAGACTATGAAGCTCACATTTCAGTTCATCCCAACAGGTATTGCTCTTGTTAGTTCACACTGACCTAAAGCCAAAGCTACAGACTTTGAAAAATCAGCTCGCAATGTAAAGAGATGTCAAGTCTACTTTAAGAAACTGTTGACTATTTTTTTTTTCTTACCTGTGGGGTAAACCTTCTTATTTTCTGTAAAACAGGTGGACAAACAGACGCATAAAACGCAGACACACACACATACAACACCCACACACAACACCCACATACAACACCCACATACAACACCCACAAACAAAACTGACACACCTATACACATATTTTGTGGGAAGCGTGCTAAAGGATGTGACTTGTGTGACAAGTTAAACTGAGCGAAGTTGTAGCGGAAAGACATAGGACATTGTTATATTATATACATGTTTCAGTTCTTCATCAGTCTATGTAGATGGAATTAGATATTGTTCTGATATGATAGTCTGTTGGTTCATGCTCTGGCCTCCCTTCATTGAGGCAGATGAAACAGATCCTTTTTGTGATTAGTTGTGTTTGGCCATTTTTCTTAAAAGTAAAATGCATTGGAGCATTTACAGGTGTTTGTTTTTTTTATCCAATTTAATTGAAACAATGTTTAATAACATATTTAAAAACCAATCAAAAGCAAATTAAATTAGAGGAAAATACAATAATTGTGTTAAATGATGAGTAGCAATAACAAGTCATAATAGCTAGTTGTATCTAATGATTTTGAGTACACACTACTAATAAATATAAATACTAAAGTTAAGGTTCCACGTTAATACAACGCAACATTTCTAGTTTCAGCTTGTGTAAATACTTGAGGTTCCACGTTAATACAACACAACATGTTTAGTTTTAGGTTGTGTAAAAACTTACAGTTCCACTTTAATACAGCGCAACATTTCTAGTTTCAGCTTGTGTAAAAACTAAAGTGGGATAGGGCAACGGGTTTCCACGCGATTTGCGAGTAAAGTCAACTAATTCGGGTTTACAGTGGTGCACACACACACACTCACACACACGCACACACACGCACACACACACACACCTCTGATACATAGAAATAACAGCCGTTGACTCCTGTTAACTCTGCCCCACCTCCCCAAGCGTCCGGGACATCCAAACTGCCTAAAGCAGCCAGCAGCTCACCTTCTTGTTGATCTCAGGGTAACGAGTGCTATTGTAGCGGATCCTCTGCTCAATGACTCGGCCCGTCAGGGTGCTGCAGCTCTTTAGCTCACACAGCTTTTCGTAAATCTTTATCATCTGGAAGGAGGAGGAAGAGGAAGGACAGAAGAAGAGGTGTGACTTGTCTGTGTCTATAATCAGTGGAGCCCTGAGCCTGATCCAGCTGCAGGCTGACCTTGCGTTTCAGCTTGTGTTCTTGGATGTGTAGCAGGATGACTGCTTTTCCAGTGGCTCCGCCCACTCGCAGTATTGTGCCCCTTTAATTTATTATATAAGGAGGGACCTGTAGATCTGCTCGCTCTCTGACAGCTGATACGCACCTCCCCCTTCCGGGTTTACCTGGCTGCAGGTTCGGCAGACGCTCGGCACTCTCTGCAGGGTTGTGCAAATTGTTCCACCGTGCAGGTATGTTGCAGTCTATTGCGCGTCGGCGATTTAGTCTGCACCGTAATAAACTTGCGTTTATGTGCAGGCGCTGGCAGGTCGGACTGCGTGTTTGCTCGTTTTGTCCCGGAGCTATGCCACGCTGAGGTCCCGACTGCCCTGACCCGTTTTGGACTGCTGCTGCTTTGTGTGGGGATAAAACCCACACTTTTTACGGACCTTGCCTGCTGCTGCGTTCGGGTGTGGAAATCCCGTTGTCCGCATTTTTATGCCTATTGTATTATGTTTTCAAATTGAGCTGCCTGAAATAGGAGGTGGATGGCAAGGGAGATTTTCTTTAT